ACCCCAGATCCCCCTGATCTCCTGTCTCTCTCTCACCCCAGATCCTGATGATCTCCTCTTCCAGGCTGGTATGATCCACTCTGCAGGAGTACTGGTACTTGTCCTCCTCTCCTGCTCTCACTCTCAGACTCTTCCTGACCTGGAAGCTCCCGTCTCCATTGGGAACCACCCCCCCACTCTCCACATCCTCCTGCAGCTCCTGTCCGTCTCTCCACCAGGACAACACGATGTCTCTGGGGAAGAAGCCAGTGGCCAGGCAGGTGAGCTCAGTACCGCCAGGTCCGGAGTCCTTGTGTGACAGGGACACCAGGGGGCGCTCTGGAGAGAGAGAGAGAGAGACAGCACCGAGACAGTCCGATTGGCCCCTTGCCTGACCGAGCAGGTCTGGGAGGGTAACGGGGTCTCGTCCCGCAGTAGGGGGCCGGACCCAGAGAGACGTGGGTGCGTGACCGTCTCCGGCTGGGCGTCGGGAGGAACGGCGCTGCTGGTCTCTGGGCTGGGTGGAGCCCGTGTCCCAGCGAGGGGACGGGTGTCGAGCATGAAGCGATGCGCTGACTGTCTGCCCTGCTGTCTGCGCAGGCAGGCTCCTCTGTCGTCTCAGGAGGGGCAGAGTTCCCGAGTCTCTCAGTAACCTGGAACCTCAGGGCTACTCCTGCAGGCTCAGACAACGGGCTCACACAGTCGCACACAGACAGGCAACTACACACACACCCTCGGACATGCACACACAGACTCACACACACACCCTCGGACATTCACACACAGACGCACACATACTCACACGCACACACACACCCTAGGACATGCGCGCGCACACACACACACATACTCACAGACACACACACACACCCTTGGATATGCACACACAGACACACACACACACACCATTGGACATGCACACACAGACGCACACACACACACACCCTCGGACACACACACACACCCTCGGACATGCGCGCACACACACACACACACAGACGCACACACACACCCACCATTGGACACACACACACACACACACAGGGTGAGACTCTTACCCACTGAAGCTGTCAGAGCGCAGGCTCTCTGGAAAAGCAGGATCAGTCCCAGATGGCTCGCCATTGTCGTCACGTTCCGGGTCGATGATCTAGTGCACGGAACTGGGCACCAGCAGCCCCGGGATCTACTTAGTAGGAGTCTCCCCCGTACACAGAGAGGGGTGGGGGTGGGGAACAAGCCGCTCGGAGCCCGGACCCTGGTTTCTATGGGGGCTGCAGCTGAATGAGCTCCTCGGATCGTTAGCTCTCCGTGGCCAGGAGCAGGCTGGGTAGAGAAGTGAAATCAGCAGGTCTATATTGAGCCCCGCAGGAACCTTGGAGTCTCGTGGGTCTGCCGACATTGAGCAACGCCGCTGCCTCGCGCGGCGGGCAGGAAGCGTGTCTGCGCAGGTCTGCTCCGCTCGGCTCCAGAAACCCCCCTGTAACGGGACTGTCAGCTCCTTCCCTGGGATCCTCAAGAGCGGTTTAAAACCAGGGTCAAACTCTAGTTCCGCTTCAGCAGCGCCAAAGAGAAAAAAAAATGATCTTGTTTATACGAGATGGTATTGCTTTATACCAGACAATTATTGCGTTTAAAAGCAAGTTAATCTGTGAAGAGTGTTGCCTGCTATATGAATATCTTGCATTATATACGCAATCATGTTGTCCTGTCCACAGTGGCCCTGCTTGAACAGAGGAATATCGTCACACTCCTCTTGTTGTGAAAATTAGCGAGCTGGGGCTCTGGGCTCCACATGAAGTGGGCACGGTGTCAGTGAGCACTCCTGGGTTAAAGGCGCCCTGTTTTAGACGCTTCTGGGCTAGGTAGAAAGGACACAGTTTTCCAAACGTGTGACTTCTGATGTGAAGCTGCAGGAACGCGTCCTGTACAGGGGTTTTTGCTGACTCTAATTTCAAGATTGAACAGGTCGAGTTGCTGCGAACTTGCCTGTGGGACTCTTACAGAACGTGTGCATCATTGCCTTCAAGTGTTCAGATGTTTTTTTTCCCACAGAAGATTATTGTCGGAGCTGTTGTATACGGAGTAAATATAGCTACTTCCCCTCAGACAGTATTTGGATTTGGTAATGTTGTGGCATAATCAAACAAGGGCTTTCTCGTGCAGTGGCACAGTGGTGCAGGGGCCTCATGGCGCTGGGCTGCTGTCTGTGTGGAGTCTGCATGTTCTCCCTTGTTGGTGTGGGTTTTCCCCACAGTCCAAAGATATGCATGAGCATTTGTGTGTCCTGTGTTGGACTGCTGTGTTGGGCTGGTGTCCAGTGGGGGACTGGTGTCCTGTGTTGGACTGATATCCAGTGAGGGACTGGTGTCCTGTGAGGGGCTGGTATCTAGTGTTGGACTGGTGTCCTGTGAGTGGCTGGTGACCAGTGTTGGACTGGTGTCCTGTGGGGGGCTGGTGTCCAGTGAGGGACTGTTGTCCTGTGTTGGACTGGTGTCCAGTGAGATGCTGGTGTCTAGTGTTGGACTGGTGACCTGAATTTTTAATAAATTCTTTAATAAATCTTTGTTCTAAGTGAAATCATATGCCTTCTCGCAACACTGCGAGTGACGTCTTGAGTGTTCTTTAGAACTGTCCATTGAGACAGTGGCACAGCCCTGAGGAATTGAACTTGCTGAGAAACTTTATCAGGCCTCCTACACAGCGCCCTTCTTCCGGTTTTTGATCATAAACATACCAGAGTACCCGGGTTTCTGTGCAAGCAGAGAAAAAATATAAAGAGAACATATGTGTACTGGATGCTATTAAAGGTGTATTTTTTGTAGTTGTAAATATTTAGGCCTGAATCTCGTCATTCAAATTAAGTCATTCAATTAAGTCAAAATTCATAAAAAATCAATCGTGAAACCGAAAATCCTCAGTTTTGTCAACATGTTTACAAATGTTTTCAGGTTAACTGTTTAGTTTCGCTTTGATAACCTGCCCCGAAGATGATGATAAGAAAAATAATATTGTTCGTAGCTGCGTTTTCTTTTATGTTTGGCGTTTAATATATATATATATTTTTAATTTTATCTGTATTTTAAAGTTAGCAGAAACACCTTGATCTACATTTTATTGGCGAGATTTGCGCTTTCCAGGCGGGCGGTGAGTGATGACGTCATCAGGGCGCTGCGGACTGTCATGGCGGCGCCCTGCAGGCTTGTATCCTGAAGGGCCGCGATCGGAGATCAGTCCGGTTACTCCTCATCGACTTACAGAGCCCTCGCCCGGCTTGTGGAGAGACAGCCCGGGACCCCAAGAGCCCGCAGGCTGAGGACTGAGGTCAGTTTCTGCAGTTAATGGGCTGATAATACTAATTATAGTGATAACAGACCCCGTGTTACAAAGTCTCCGTGCGTATTAACCTCTCAGGTCAGTGTTCATGTGCTCGAGTGTCCATTCGGTCTGTATTTTTTTCTCTGTGAGAAACAGGTTTAGGTTTCATCAGTAAAAGTGTTAATAAAGAAAATTGTGCTTCTTTACCTCAAATTGCAGACTTGTAGAGAGAAGTTATTTACCTCTGTAAGATTTAATTTGTTACAGGAAGATGTGACTTAAGTAACTCTGTCATCACTAAACATAAATCAAGTTCAAATAAAAGAGTGATCAATTCATGCACTGAGTCGGCTGGGGAGTGGTTTTTCTGTGGTGGGCTGTGTGTTTGAAAAAGGGTTTTTGATGTTTATTCACGATTTGACCCCTCCCACGAGCACCTGCCTGTGAGTCTTGTAATAATAAACTTTATTTTATATAGCGCCTTTAAAGGTGGCTTCTCAAAGCGCTTTACAGGATGACAACAACAATAAATAAGAAGACTACAACAATAAATAAGAAGAATACACAAGATAGGACACAATTATAATTACAACAATACAATAATACCAACAGAGGAGGCCGTGGAAGGTGGTATTAAGAAGAGCAGAGGGGTGAAGAATGGAACCAGTTCAGTAAAGGCTTTTCTGAAGAAGAAGGTTTTAAGTCTGGATTTGAAGGAGTTTAGAGAAGGTGACTCTCTGATATTCACGATTTGACCCCTCCCACGAGCACCTGCCTGTGAGTCTTGTAATAATAAACTTTATTTTATATAACGCCTTTAAAGGTGGCTTCTCAAAGCGCTTTACAGGATGACAACAACAGGGTGAGTATACTGGGATTAGAGCAGTAGATTCCAAAAGGCTGAACAAGCTCATCAGGAGAGCGAGCTCTGTCATTGGGTCTGACCTGGACCCCTTGGAGGTAGTGGCTGAGAGGAGAATGATGTCCAAACTGGAGGCCATCATGGACAACTTCTCCCATCCCCTCTATGACAGGCTTGCAGGAATGAAGAGCACGT